TCGTTTGAGCCCGGAGGTCGGGGCCCGGTGAGCCGTGGTCCTGCCGCTGGGCGACAGACACCCGACTCAAAACAAAAAAGAAAGAAGCCAGAACCGATCGGTGGGTGTTTTCCCTCCCGTTTTTGAGGGGGAGAGGGGTGTGCTCCAAGGAATTTAAAGCTATGTGTGGCACTCTACCTCAAAGACGTCATACATTTTAAATCGGATCAGAGGAAGTCCTCATTTTGGGCAGGTGACGACCTGCGCTTTGAGTCCCTGGAGTGGCTCCCCAGCCTGGGGATGGTGCCCATGCGGAAGCTCAGGCCGAGGGTGGGCGGGATGGAGCTGCAGGGGCTGCCCTCGAACCTTGGGACGACTTTGGGGGCCCAGAAGGTGCTTTGAAACTTGAAGCGTCAGTTTGTCTGCCAGGAGGGCTGGGTAGTGATTTTTTGTTTTTTTCCCCTTAAATGCTGTGGGCCTTCTACCACGTGTAAGCTATAAGTCCGCCTGAACTGGTAAGCTTTGATATTCTGTGCTGCTGTCTGTCTGGCTTTTTTGAGTAAAAGAAGCACAGCACACATGGGTCGATGATGAGCCGGCATGTATTCTGAACCTAAAGTTGATTATTACTACTTTAGCTCTAGAATTACTCTGAGACCTGAAAATTGCCTGAAGTTCTGAATCGGATGTTTTTGTGGCCAAATGAAGTCGTACAAAATTCAGATGTGTATCAAATATATATGCTGTGGGACAGAGTATGGAGAGGAAACACTGATGGGGGGCCCACTGCTTGTCTTGAAAGGGCACGCCGCAGAAGGACGTCAGTATCAAGTCAGATGCACCCAGCACCCTGTTGTTGGAGAAACATGCGGACTATATCGCGTCCTACGGATCCAAGAAGGATGATTACGTACGTGTGGTTTTCTGTTGGAAAGCTTAAGTGTGTGGACATAGGCCGGAGGTACCTTGGACATCTGAGGGTGGGGGCTTATCAGAGTAAGCCCAGCTCTGAGCAGTATCGGGAGGGCTTGATAGACTAAGTAGGGATTTGAGGCACAAAAGCGGTTTCTTTTTTTGTGGCTGAACTAATGCCTTCAAGGTCGATGATGTTTTGGCATGTATTATCTGAAGTTACTGCTGATGTGTAATAACACTTTAGCTCTAGAATTACGCTGAGACCTTGATAAAAGTTTAACCTTAAGGTGCTAAATTTCAAAGAATCGTTTTTCTCTCTGGGCCAAGCATCGCAAAAAGTACTGAACCACTTAGTTAAGAGGAGATATTTCCCCTGTGGTTTCCAAGCAACTTCTCTACCCACTTGTGGAGCACGTGGTACTGATGAGTTTTTGAGTTAAGTATGAGGTGGTTCCCTGCTGCTTAGAAGCAGTCATGGAGCAGTTAAGGCCTTGGGGAGGGGGCATGGCATGTTTCTGCCTTTCATCCAACTGCCTGTCTTTGGACCCTGAATTAGTGTTGGCAGCAAATTACTAAAGTGTCTTATGTGTTACAAGACCTCTAAAGTAGAAATGGAATGCATTGCTTGTGGCAGCAAAAATTTGTTTCTAGGGTCTTCTGATGTTCACGTCTTATTGATAGCTACTGTTTATCTGGGCATAAATGTGTACCTGTGGCATGTCAGGTTGTTTTGATTTTCATGTAGTAATACCTTTTGCTAATAGATAGCAGGTTTTGTACAGAGTCCACGTTAAAAGAAGGGTGTTGCTTGACCAAAATATGGCACTAATCCAACAGAAAAACTTAAAAAGACAGAATAAATCCTTCCCAAAAAACCAAAAAAGAGTATCTAGGCTGGGTGTGGTGGCTCATGCCTGTAATCCCGGCACTATGGGAGGCTGAGGCAAGAGGATTGCCTGAATCCAGGGGTTCAAAACCAGCCTGGGAAACTTGGCGAGACCTCACCTCCACAAGACATCAAAAAATTAGCAAAATTGGCTGGGTGTGGTGGTGTGTGCCTGTGTGTTCCAGCTACTTGGAAGGCTGAGACAGAAGCAGGCTGAAGCTGTGGTGGCTGTGAGGGTGTCATTGCACTCCATCCTGGGCGACAGAATGAGACTGACTCAAAAAAAAGCATGAGTGTCTAATAAATATGGTACTGGTTCTGTGAAAGAATGTTCTCCTTGAACTTTGCTATTGGAAATACTTTTTCTGACTTATTTTGCCTCTGGTTGGCTCTCGAGAGAGCCCATTTGTGTTAGTTGTTAGGCATATATGAACTTACCATGTGTTCCTCAAATAGCTTTCTTTTTCTGCTTAACAATTGTGTTGTAGATGGTTTCCAGCTTTGAGAGCCACAAATATGAACTCAGTATTGATTAGTGATGCCATTGCAGTTAGGAGAAATAAAAAATAATAGTGTGGCTACTGAGTTTTGCATTTAATCTCTAACCTGCTATCAATTCAAACTGATACATTTAAGGTAATTGTGTATTTTAGGAATACTGTATGTCTGAATATTTGAGAATGAGTGGCATCTATTGGGGTCTGACAGTGATGGATCTCATGGGACAACTTCATCGCATGAATAGAGAAGAAATCCTGACGTTTATTAAGTCGTGCCAACACGAGTGTGGTGGAATAAGTGCTAGTATTGGACACGATCCTCACCTTTTATACACTCTTAGTGCTGTTCAGGTAAATAAATGCTAATTACAATTGAAAAGAGGTAATTAGAACTGTTTGGGGAAGTTGACGGCATCACAATCCTAGGTCAAAAAGTTTCTTGACAGGTGAGGCTGTCCTACAAGGTCAATGATGTAATGGCATGTATTAGCTGATTCCAGAAGTGATGTAAGTTCTAAAATTACACTGAGACCTTGGAGGGTAGCGTTTTTTTCTTTAGTATATGTAAATATTTGAAAATGATTAAATGGAGTTACTTAATTTGACGTTAGTGAAGGTCCACCTGGTGGTTTAAAGTCTATTTCTGTTGCTGGGTAGGCACATGTGCCTGTGATCCCAGACTGAGGCAGGAAGATGACTTGAGTCCAGAAATTCAAGACCATCATGGGGCAACGTAATATATATGAGTACCTTGGAATGCCAAGTAACCATCTGTTTAGAAACATTACAGCAAAAGGTTTTGGGTATCTTGATCGCACCTATGGTTTTAATAGATAACAGGTAGTCTGCATATTTGAGAAAAGCTATACATGGATCAAAGGACATGCTTGACAACTTAGAAGGGAGTTGAGAGTAACAGCATTAGAATACACTTGAAGGGCTATTTAACTAACACTTGTCTTTGTTGCAGATTCTTACTCTGTATGATAGTATTAATGTTATTGACGTAAATAAAGTTGTGGAGTATGTTCAGAGTCTACAGAGAGAAGATGGGTCTTTTGCTGGAGATATCTGGGGTAATGTCCGACTTAGTCCGTGCTACCCAAGTACCAGTATTAAAATGCCCTGGCTTCACTAGTAAACAGTCTCCAAGGAGGTGTCAAGTTTTCCATCTTTTCAGGTCCCACTAAGCAGCTGGTCTAGCTGGAGTTAAAGCTCTGCTGGAAGTTCCAGCTTGCACTGTGTAGTTATGTCAGCATACAGGAGCACTGGAACAGAGGGGGCCGGTCTCAGCGATCAGGTAGGTGGGTTTTTTGGCCCAGTGTTTGGTGACTTTGTAAAGTTTTTTAGCTGCTTTCTGAAAAGGGAAAAATATTCAAAAACTTTACAAACTTACTGAATATTTGAGTGGAGGGAAGGAACAGAATTTTATTTGATGAATGCAGATAGTCTCTGCTTTAGGGATGAGCACATTGCAGGCCAGAGTGACCAGCTGCTTCATGGGATGTGAAATTCTGTTTCTGTAAAGTGGTCAATTTATTTGCATTGTCATAAATTGACTAGTTCTTTTGGTTCTATTTCCTTCCCTTCCTGGGCATTTTGTAAGCAACTTAAGACAACTTGCTGTTATTTTTGACAGCAATTTTCTACTCTCTTTTTTAGAAGTAAAGGCATTTAACTTCAGATTTAGCCTTCCTTACTCCTAAAGTAAAGGTTAAACTTGAACTTTTGGAAATGTAATGTGGTAGTTGTGCAGATTTTGTTCGTAGTCACTTGGACTGTGTATTCTCTTCTGAAGCCTTTGGTAACACATGCTTTGGTTTGATTGTTTTTTGTTTTAGGAGAAATTGACACAAGATTCTCTTTTTGTGCGGTGGCAACATTGGCTCTGTTGGTAAGCTTCCAGTATTTTATTGAAACGGTTTAAGTCCATGAATACTCTGTAATTTAATAGGTGTATTTTTTCTGTTTACAGGGGAAGCTTGATGCTATAAATGTGGAAAAGGCCATTGAATTTGTTTTGTCCTGCATGAACTTTGATGGTGGATTTGGGTGCAGACCAGGTTCTGAATCCCATGCTGGGCAGGTAATTTATTTAGCGCTGATGGAGATTCAATATCTTAATGTGGAAAGGTGTAACTATCACTGCAATGAAATGGGAAAACTTGTTAATAGTCCTTGTGTGTTAAATATATATATATATATATATTTTTTTTTTTTTGAGG